ACTTACATATAAAATCTTCATCTCTGAATTACCTCTCTCTGAGTACAAGAATTTATTTTGCCTTTCCATATGCTCTCTCTTCTAAACCTACAGATCTTTCATCTTTAGATTTTAGTTATGTCCCCAACACCGTAACCCCTCCTCCTTCTTCCAAACTGTCATTTAAGTTTCCCTTCCTCTGTTGTCTAGATTTCACTTGTCAACGTCTTCAACTTCACCTTAGCTCCAGTTCCTACAACCTCCTACTCTTAATTCCTAGCCTCAGCAAAATTATAAAAAAAGGAAGAAGATAAAAATAAGATGATGAGGTGAAAGTCTGAGTAGGACAAGTGGCTTAGTTATGTTGCACAAATTCACAGGTAATCTCAACTGACTTCATGACAATTTACAGGGATCTATAGTTAGTTGGCATTGGAACAGTGAAAGTAGATGGTGAGTCATCCTTGCAAACGGTCAATGACGTTGAGGTCAGCAATCATATATCAATGATTTTTTTCACAATGCTAAATATTCTCATCTGAAGATCACTTCTCAAATTCTACTTCAAAAAAATAGGACCACCAGGAAATACCTTAAGGTCTAAATTAAGTACTAAGTAAGACACAAAGACCAAGGTCAGTCTTCACCCTGAGAGTCAGGGTACAGAGTCCCTCCCCTTTCCTTTGCTTCCTATTTCTACACCCACCCCAACTATTACAGAAGCTTCCTTCTTAGCTCTTGTCTCCCTTTATTCTACTTTACCTTATGTTCTAAAGTTGAATTAATTTTCTAAGGCATAATTTCAATTATATGATTTCTTTAATTAGAAATGGTCACCCATTTTGCATTGCAATTAACTCACTCCTAGGCCATCGTCCAGAATCATTAAAAGTTCTTTTCTGTCTCCCTCCCCCGCACCCCCACGCACAGACCCTCCTACTTAGATGTCACCTTCCATTGTGTTGGGTTCCTAATCTTTCTCATCCCTGTTTGTATCTCCTTTGTGGCACCAATTTTACTGTGCTTCTTTTTGTTAAATATGTCTTATCCTCCCACTTGCTCCATTAGAAGTTAAGATTTTTTAGAAGAGAAATTGTATTTTTCTCATCTTTGGATTCACTTTAGCACAAAGTATGTGTGTGCACAGTAGGAGCTAAAAAATAATAATGCTGAATTCAGTCAAGTTAAGTATTCAACTTGTTTTTTATTATCTATTTCCTGAAGAGGCATACCACATAATTTCCTACTCAAGGTAGCTAGCTAAAATAATGTAGTTTCTGTACTATTCACACTCAGATTGAGTATAATTTTGCCAATATCTGTTAAAACCTAAAATCTGGCTCATTTGTGTCACTTTCTTGAGATGGCATAATGCTCTAGAGTGATTTTGTCTTCATTAACAATGCTCGTTATTCACTTTGTAATGTACATGACTTCCAGATTGATTCTGGCTGTTCTCTTGCTTGACAATATATTTGCGTAAATTGGGAATTAGTCTCATTAGCTGACATGCAGCTTTTCAGCATCTAGAACATGCTAATATATTCACTGGATAAGTAGAAGTGACATTGTCTCCACATTGTCAGGTGGCAGTGTGTGTTGTACATAGGTATATAGAGACACACTGTGTGCCTTATCATCATGCAGACATGTACTACTCAAAAAAATCATTCACAAAAGAGGATAAAAGCATAGAGTACAATGGAGGTGAGATGAACATTCCATTAACCCCATCACCTCTTTCCCCACTTGGCTTTGTTGAAAGGGTTAGTGAACAATTCCTAGAGCTCTGGGAGTCTGAAACTCCCAGCATAGAAAGGCAATAGAATGCAATTAACACCCTTCTTTTTTAATAGCTTACACTGCAGAGAGAAATGTCTAAAAGGATATTTAATTTCAGTATAAAATTCTAGCAGCCACAATTTTAATTGCATACCAAGTGTAAAATATTTCTTTCATTGTCTAAATAAAAGAAAGGTTATAATGCATACTGTCTGCTTATTTCAGGACTCAATTATTAACCTTTAAGAATCTTTTCTAAGATAAAGACTTCTTTTTCCAACAAATTCTTCTTGAGATTAGGGCTTCATCTTCTAAAATTTTAAGTCCTCCTTTAGACCATATTGAAACTTCATTCCCTGATACAAAACCCCCCTAAGAAATATTTCAGACATAGGAATGTTAAGACTTTTTTCCATTGGCAGTTAGTAAAGCAGTAATTTTCAGAAGCCACAAAAACGAAAAGCTACCTTCTTCTTCAACACACAAACATACACATACACATATAAAAAATGCACAATATACAATTTGATTACTCAATAGCAAGTCATCACAATCACAAGCAAAAATTGGGCTGCTGTTTCCATGGAGATGACTTTATGTGGTTCAGCTCTTCTGGGAATTTAACCAAATCCCCAGCAGCAGGAGAAAATCATCAGCAAAAAATCTGTGACATATGGTAACTACCAACAAACCAGTTGAGAGAAAACTACTTTCATTTTCTCTTCCTCTCTACCCAGAGAAATACCTTCATACCAATCTGTTTGAAGATCCAGAGTTTGTTGGTCACTGCATGTAATTCAAAACTAAATAATACCGGATTTTCTTCCATCTTACATTAAGAGAGCTGCTGGTACTCAGCCAGGCTCCACAGCGCATGCATTCCCAGAACAGCATTTAGACATGGAGGACTGCAGGCATCTTCTCGTGACTCTCCACTTATTGATCCTACAGGAAAACTCAGTCTGAAGGTTTTCACTCAGGAAAGACTGTAAATAGAATTTAATATCTATGATGCGTCTGAAGCTATGCACATTGTGTAGGGTATGTGTGTAGGTGAAAGTATGCATGTATGAAAATGTCTTAAGTTCCATTTCTTGTCCAACTATTACAGTGAGAGCTTTTAATTGGAAAAAAATATATGTAGTACTTTTTTTTAGTTCCACAAATTCTCTGTCTGGTAGGACTAAGCATCAAGTTCGAAGTCATCTTAGATAAAGATACCTAAATTCTCTCTTCAGTAAATCTTCACAAGAACAAAAATTATCAATATGCAATGTGAAGTCAGTATCCAAGGCAAATGGGCATCTCAGAATGAGCAAACACCTCCAGTGATGAGAGTGCATTAGCTATCCATGGAGCCTACTCTATTTGGACAGCTCACAACATCAAAAAGCTTTCTTATGCCAATAGGAGAAGAGGACTAGGAACTAGAGAAAAGGTTAGTTTGAGAAGAATCAATTTAGAAAGTAACACATATGTACATGGAAGCAAAACTAGGAATCCCCCTATATAGCTATCCTTACCTCAACTAGCAAAAACCCCTGGTCCTCCTTATTAATGTTTATACTCTCTCTTTAACAAAATTAAAGATAAGGGCAAAACAGTATCTGCTTGGAAGCAAGGGGGTAGGGGCAAGAAAGAGGGGGCAGGAGGGAGGGGGGAGTAATGACCCAATCATTGTATGCACATATGAATGAAGGAAATAAAATAAACAGCAAAAAAAAAAGTTTCTTATGCTGAATCTAAATCTACCTCCTGCTCACCTGCACCCCTGACTTCAGTTCTGTACTTTGAAGGAGGTCAATTAAGCCTTCTCTACACAGCAGCTCCTCACTGATTCAAGTTCAACTCCAGTCCCCGATGCTTCCCATTCTCACAGCCCAATCTTCATTTCCGCCTCCCCCTGTATCCTTATCCCACTCTGCCACCTCCAGATGTAGGCTAGGTTGCCATGACTTCCTCCACTGAAGTTTTTCTAATGTACAATAGATAGATGGCCTACATTGGGGTATCAATAGAAAATCTCATCATAGGCCAGGTAGGTAAAGCATCCTCAGAAAAGACCTCAGGGGTGGTGACAACTTGGATGACTTGGAGAATGAGTTACCAGACTCAGTGTTAAAATTCATATATTTCAAAATACTACACACACACACACACAACTTGGTCTGCAGTTGAAATCCTTGACTTAAATTACTCTCATACCAAAAATGAAATTAACAGGAATTAATAGAGTACATCTGAAAATGTGAGAACTTAAAGATATGATCCCTGATTACAGGAGAAGGGAGAGCAATCATCTATGTCAACTGTCTGGACAGTTATTATGGGAATTTTACAAGGCAACTTTCTCTCAATAGTACACTAAAATAATGTAACCCAAGTTCATCATTCCCTCACTGCTTAGCATCTTATATTTGGTGATCTCATTTCACACTGGAATGAATAAGGCAAAGATCCTTCATGATTAAATAGTAATAAAAGGAAGTTAATCCTGAATAAAAGATAAGGAACAATCATCTAATGTGAGTATTTAAAAATTCACATAATTAATTTCTACACACCTCTTTATTTGCTGAGACTTACAATGTTTTCCAAATATATAATCCATACTTATCTTTGTTTTTGTATTTTTTGTAGAGCTGGGTATTGAACCCAGGGCCTTTTGCATGTTAGGCAAGCCCTCTGCCACTGAGCTCCACTCCAGCCCCCTCCTTTGTACTTAAACGGTTAGAGCTGAATTGTAAAGCACAGTAAAATTTCTGTCTTTCCATTAACCACATAGGTACACTCCAGAGGCAATGGCTAGGAAGCAGACATTATGTTGACATGGTCCATGGAAGGTGACTGCTAGAAGTCTGTTTGAACTCATCAAAGTGATATTATGAAGACTAGACTACAGAGCTCCAAGTTAACCACAAGCTGCAGAGCATGGGACAAAGGACCAAAATAAGAGTTAAGCATTTTCTCTAATTGGTGGGAAGGTGTCATTATTTTATGGCCACACAGCTCATGGTCCTAAAGCATTTGGTTAGTCATACTTACAGCAAATAATTAGTGGCCTGGCAACTGGAGCTGTCACAGGAAAACTCCACAAAAGTAGCCCCAAGCCTATACCTACTTGACTATCTAATTATTGAATCACCATTGATGAATTTAAACATCCTCGTTACAAATGCAGACTAGAAGTCCACAATACACAAATATTCACTCTCTAAACAGACAATTTCTTAGAGTACCTCTATCCATCATCCTTGATCCAGTAGATTTATCTGGGACAGTCAGATGGTCTTGATTGCTACTCAATGAAGAGGTGTCATCACTAGACAAAGAGTTCAAAAACCCACTCTCTGACGTGACAGAGCTGTGTTCTGGGGCTTCTGAAGGAACCGGTGCATGAACCTGCACAGCAAATGTGAGGGGGTGTCCCACGTCTTCAGCCGCAGGTGAGCTGTTAACTATGTTGAGCCAGGACTGTCTTTCTTTAGATCCAAAGGAAGAGAAGCTGCTGGGTGTCTTTATTGTATTTTCCAAAAAGAGAGAACATGATGCTTCACTGAGTTTGGGTAAGGATGCAGATGCCTGCCGGGCAGCCTGTTTTCCACAAATAAACCCAAAAAAGAATAAAAGAAATTGTGATTAAAAGTTCATTCTCTTCTTTTCATTTTTAATAAAGTTCTTCCCAGTACACTTTCAAAAAGTGACCAGGAACAAAAGAATCAAAATGTAAATGTATGATATTGTTTCTGTAGAACAGTCCTGAGACTTCTGTTCTCTAAAGCTGATTTGAGTTTCTTTGAATTCACCAAGTTAGGGTCTATAAAATCCCCATATGATGTTTTTCCTTATTCTTCAGGCCTATCCAGAAACTTGCAAGGGAATTCTTTATAATACTGAAGTAGACCTTAGGGAAAAATTTCATCCGTAATCTAACACTGAGCTCATCGTGATAGAGCAAAAGCTCTTGTGAAAGTAATTAAGAGAAAGAAAGCAAGGGGCTAGGTAGAGCATTTGCCTAACACACACAAGGTCCTGGACTTGATCCACAGAATCAGCAAAAACTTTTGTCCATTTGGAGATTTTTTTTTAATGTTCTACATAGCAAAATAAAGACTCAGCAACTCTTTGTTATTCCTCCATTTTTAATTTTTAATTTGTCAATAAAACCCAAAAATCTAGATTCCAGTGTTCCCTGGATCACCCTGTATCTCCAATGGCAAAAGACAATAAAGGTATGTTATGGTTCAGTTTCCTTACCATCAAACTATCAGATACTCATATCAATTTCAAGCATTGAAAGCTCCAAAGAAGTGCCAGAAAGGCCACTACTAAAGAAAGAAAACCAAAGAGCAAAGTAGGATCCTCTCCAAACACTCAGAGTCACTGCAACTAACTCAGAATGGTTAACTTTGCTCTTGCAGGTTCTAAACTCTGAGATTGTTGGGAAAAGCCAACACTTACCCAATGCATACATACTAGGCAGCACAGTAGTCATGGATTATCAAATAATCAATATATCTAGTTTTAAGTACTGTGACATTAAAAATCTATTTAAGATAATAACAGTTCACACACGTCTTCTCATTAGTAGTATACTGCACTGACATGAAAATATTCCATTCATGAATGTGTCAAGTAGTGTGGGAACTGGTTACCTTAAATCACCTGGGCCCTTTAAAAACTAAGAGATCAAAAATCCATAACTCATTAAATAAAGGCTCACTTATCTGGAGGAGGGAATGCACAACCCTTACACTGTCCAAACAAACGCCAGGGACAGTTCACTCATTATCAGGATCTACAAAATAAATATTAATAAAAATACCTATGTTGGTTTAGTCCTGCCACGTTCCCCTTTTGAGAGCTATTTTTGTAAAATTCAGCTTCCATGTGATCTGCTTCCTTTTTTAAATAAGAGAACAAGCATGAGCTTTTCCTGTTGCTCCTGCTGGTTCTGCTTTAATTGGATTAGAGCAAAGGGGCTATTTGAGAGAGAAAAAAAAGAAAAAAACTGTGTGCTCAGTTGCTGCCACCTTTTCCTTAAGGTTTTCTGAACCTCAAAACTCTGCTCAAAGGACTGAGGAAAGGCATGTTAAGTGAAGTGTATTCCCATTGATTGCTACTCAATGAAAAGACTCTCAATCTATTTTCTCTAGGTGCCACATAAGATTCATAAATTCTGTTTTAAATGAAGAAAAGAGGAGTGAGTGAAAAACAGAAAGAAAGAAAGAAAAACAAAGAATGAGAGAACTGGAAAGGAAGAAAAAGGAAATGAGAAAAAATCTACATATATTAGGTAAGAAGGGGTTTTCATTAGAAGAAAGATCAATAAAACACAAATCAAAGTGAACCTGGAGTTCCATTTCAGAAGATTCAATAAGGGAGCATGCTGTGTAGACAGTGTTTTGCCAAAGCATGGTACATTATCTCTAAGATACTGTAACCAATAATCACAGTACCAAGCACAGAACTGTTAGCTCTGCCTTCTGTGAACAGTCCATGCAACACACTCAAAAAACTCCTCAACAAGTGAAATGCAGGTGGAAAGGACTGGCAGTCTCTTCTCTCCACCACACCTCTACTTGATTGATGTGAGCTCAACCTTCATAGCCGGTTCAAATGCTTGCTCCTGCGAGAAGCCGTATCTGATAACTTCAGAGCCAGGTAGGTACCTATGTGTGGTACTCCTTGGTTTATTTCTATTATAGTAGGTGAAATATCATTTTATTTGTCAACTTATATTGTAATTTCTGATTGTTAAATCATTTTTGGTGAGTAACTTGAGAACAGGCTGTTTTTAGTCATTTTTGCACTTCCAATTTTTGCATCTGTGCCTGACACAAATTACTGCCAGCAAAGAATGGAGCTAGTTATGTTAAGAAAATTTCTCCAGAGTAGTTCAATATCTTACTGAAAAGTTCCCTGAAATCGTCCCTAAAGTTGCAAAGGGTGGTTTGTCCTAACTCAGGGGCCATGGGTTGACTGGCACCAAATGCAATGCAAATTTGTCCCAGAAAACATTCTCACAATCCTAAAAAAAATGATTTTATTAAATTAGAGAATTAATAATTATATGTGGTTTCTTTCATTTGAGAATAATTGAGTTTGAAGCATTTTATATTCAATGCGAAAATTCAAGACATTTTAAAGATCTTAGTTTTAATTAAGAGATTCTGTGATTAAACTAAAAAATTTAAATTGATTTTTTCCATTTCCTATATAGGGTATTTTTATTTATTGGAGAAGCTTAACTCAAATGGAAGTTAGTTCTAAAGTCCTTTTTTGTTGGGTTTTGTTTTCAAAACACAAGTTTGACATGTAAAAAAAAATAGTTTAAAATAACCACCAAAAGCCTATAATTTGGAAGAAGTGATTCAGCATATAAACCTTAAGAAACATGAGCCAAAGTACATGAAAAAAGAGAGGAATAATTTAAGACCAAACATAATAAAATCAAATCAAGAAAAGGAAGAAACTACACAGATTTTTTTCATTTTATTAGCCATACTAATAAAAAACTAGTTCATTGTTTTTAAGCCCTAAGAGCCATTGTGCTTGGATTTCTCCCCTGTGCTAGCAGAAGCCTTACCATAAAAACCAGAAGATCTGTGTAGTATACTAGCTTCTCTGCCACTGACTGTCTGCATGACCTTAGCAATGAGCTGACAGCAGATCAACTCATCACTCCAAGCTTTTGTATCCAACTGACATCAGAGAATTCATTTTCTCTCCAAGTCCTAATCTATTGGCTTCCTGGCTCCTTTCTTGCCCTGCTCCCTGATCCAGGCATCCTCCAATCAACACCAAGAATATTTCTAAAACATGAAACAGATCACAATACTCCTCTGCTGAAAATCCTCTAATAAATGCCCATCACAATTAGAAAAATATCCATTGTCTTTATTAGAGCTAAGAAGGCTCCTGTGGAGCCCTAACTACTGCCCTCCCAGGTTCATCCCTTCCCATCACCCCCTCACCTTATCCATTCAAGCCACATTGGCTTCTTTCTGTACCTGAAGCACATCTGTGATTCTTTCTTCCTGTCAGGCCTTCCCTGTGCATTTCTGGTTGGTTGTTTCCTTGCCGTCACTCTGACCTCAACTCAAATGCCACTTCTAAAGTGTCTCCCCTAACAGTAACAGACAACGTAATATTGTCTCCACTCTAACTCCCCACAATCTCCTAGCACATTACCCTGTTTTAATTTCTTCATTGCACTCATCAGTACCTGAAATAATTTGTTTAATTGTCAATATTATTGTCCCTCTTCTGTAACTTAAAACTGAAGATGCTCTAAGGAGAGGAACACTGTCTAGTTCAGCTGAGCTTTGCCTTAACCTCAACAGTGCCTGGCACACTGAAGGTACACAAAAATATCTATCAGTTGCCTGAATGACAGATTTATCAAGAGAAGCAAATTATATAGCATAAAGAACATTCCTTTGTTTTGTTTTGTTTTTCTTTTGAGCTAGGGTCTCTCTCTGTAACCCAAACTGGCCTCCAGCTCATGATCCTCCTGGCTTAGCCTCCTGAGTGCTGGATTTCAGGACTTTGCCATCATGCCCAGCTTAAAAAAAATTCTTAATAAAACATAAATACTTTGAAAATGTTACCTGCAATGATTAAGTTTACTTCTTTGCAATTTGACTTCTTCATTTCTAAAACTAATACAGGATTTTGTGAGAGTCAAATGAAGTGATCCTTTTTAAAGCTGTAGAAAAGCACCACACAAGTATAAAGTGCTATCTTTCTAATTCCCATTGGGAAATATTTGTAGAGCAAGAAGATTGTAAAGAATGTGCATGAGGTTACAATGATCACCCTCTTGTCCATCTATCCATCCATTAAATATTTATTTAGTTTTAAAACTGTGCTAGGCACCATCATAAATATTGTGAGTAAATAAAAAATATATACTGGACCCTGACTCTGACTTTAAGAATTTAATAGTTAGATAAATTAGAAAGATACACAAAAAAATGTAAAGTACAAGGCAGTTTATGATAATAACATGGAAAAAAAGCATCAAAAAGCGAACTGCTACAGAAAAATGGGGAGCGTTCAGAAGAGAGCAGAATTATCCGGACCCAGAGGACTAGGAAAGCTCATGTGAAGGAAGCCACACTTGAAGCAGACTTGAAAGATATTAGGTGGTAGTCTTGGAGTCTGAGTGGGGAGGTAAGCACGTTAAGAAACTTTCCCATTTCAGGTGCAGTACCAGGAAGCATGGAAACACAGGCAGATTCCTAAGCTCATAACAAAGGAGGAAATGGTAACAAGAATTTAGCAACAGGTTGAAAAAATCCCAAAGATCCTAAACACCAAGCCAAAGAGTAGGGGATTAATTTGGTAAGCATCGAAGATTCACTGAAAGGGTTTGGGCAGTGAATCAATATTATCAGAACTGTGCTTTAGGAAGACAGATTAGGAGGTGATTTTTAAGAGGAGAAAGAGACCAGATGCAGAGAAAGAAAAAGAATCTGATATTTTAATTATTCAGGCAAGAGCTAATGAGGACCTCAAGTAGGGGAAGTGGGAACAGAAGGCAGGAAGAGGTAGTAGGACAGCCACCATGCTGCCAAGGGACCAGGATG